CCCCAAAACCCCAAAACCCCAAAACCCCAAAACCCCATAAACCAAAAATATTTTTGAAGAAGTAATTAATGGAAAATATAGTTCCTCTTTCCAAATTGCTCACCCAATTCGGGACTTGCACACAAATCTGTTAGTTCTATGGAAGCTACTGGGAAGTCGCCATAATGGTAAATCAGCTCTCCAAGAAGTGTAGAGAGTTATGGCTAAGCAATTTGAGAGCCTTCAGAGTATTGCTGATTAAAAATAAGAAGGTTCTTAAATATCATAAAGGCTTTGATACTGAAATTGCTGAGTATCTCCTGAAATCAGATAGATACGTCAGCTACAGACTAGATTTATGCATCGGAAGTGATAAAGAAATGGGAATCTTCTTGAAGTTTGTTAACCAAATTGATACCTCTCAGAGTACTCTTGCGTGTAAGAAAATTGTTTCCTGAACTTATAATTTTGCTTTCTCAGCTTAAAATTTGCTTCGAACTAAATCTGAGTAATTTTATAGGTGAGTTTGAGAATAATTCAGTGAATATTTCGAACAACTTTTGGAAGCCCGAACAAATCAATCCAATATTTGAAGAATTCATATCAAAGAATCTCTCTATTACTAATATTCAGATTGAGAATAAATTTGACAGTAATGAAGCTGAAGCAATTTATGGTAAGCTCTTATTATATCTTTTCAGATTACTATCTAAACTCAAATCTAGATACCTCGGAAGTTTCATATGAGTACTCCAAGATTATTGAGTAATTTAACATTTTTATTTAATCTAGCACCTCAATGCCATTTCACTCGAATGTGAAGAAGGTGAATACTTTTTTCATGAAAGAAATGGTAAATCTTTTTCTAACATGTAGATTTCACCAACAGATCAAGATATCGAAAAGTTGGTTGTAGATTACTCTCTATTCTCAAGATTTTATGAAGAAATGCCAATCTTATGTCCAGAGAAGATCAACAAGATTGAGATTAGGGAGCCCAATATTGGAAATATTTCAAAAAGTCAAAGACTGTAAGTCCAGCTCTATCAATTAAATTCTACTAAAATTTATCCCAAAATCAGATTGGAAAATCTCAGCTATTTTCTGAGATGATTCTGGCACTCAAACTTAAACCGCTTTTACTAATTCTTGGTCTAGAAATAAGCCAGAATTTATAGATTTCCTTGAGACATCATTTCCAAGAAGTCTACAGGAGGTATTCCCAAGACTAAGTGAAATAACCTTGGCACTGTGCCACCCTACCACAAACGGTATTAGTTTCCTAACCTTGTAGAACTTTTGGAATTAGAGAAGATCATTAAGAGGAGTAACGAAGCTGGTGTATCGACAAAACTAAATCTTTGCCCAGAAATTCCTCAGAGGAAGCCCTACTTTGTACAAGAAAATACTAATGTGTACATGATCTCAGATACCCGTGGAGATATAATTGAAACATATGGACTCCCAGGCTCGAATGTGGCTACAATGAGCACTAAAGTTCTCCACTGCTTCACTGTCGGAAGGTAAGGTTTTGACGTAAAACCTAGATTGGAATGATACGAACCAATGGCAGGGGTTGATAGTGTAAGAGTTGATTCTGAATTTATAGGGAATGAGGACTCCATACGGTGGAAGACCAGTCAGAAAAATTTACACTCACAAAATTCATCCAACAAAGAAATACTTGTTCATGCAGTCGTTGCATAATATAAATCTATATGACGTCTCATTAAATGGGAGACTTAATCTTTCTCCAAAAATCGAAAAAGAGAGTAAATTTTTGCAACTAATTTTCTAGTGATGAACCTCTTTGCACAGTATAAGCTAGCCCAGCCTTGTTTGCTCCTAAAAAACAGAGCTTTTACTGGGATATGGGGGAAATAAGGAGTTTAATCATTTATATTTCAAGCAGGATGATGAAAGCAACACTAGTAAGCAAGAAAATCATACATTTAAGTCTTAACTTTTTAGACCTAAATCTTGAGCTAATAGATGATAATAGCCATGTGATCTTAGCTCCAAGGCTTCCATCCAAGCTTGCCCAGATGTCTTCTATGAAACTTACTGTAGAGTTTCCTGAACCCAGACTTGTTGGAGAACTTATCAAGTGTCTTAATGGGTCTGTGACACATCTAGATATGAGAGCAAGACCTGGAAGATTAAGCAAAACAAAAAAGAGAATTAAAGAGCAGATTATTGAAAAGATCTTGGGCATGAAGAATTTAAATACCTTTATATACTCGAGGTAATGAAAATACTGATGGATAAGACTAGCCCTCTCTGCATTTAAATGCAAATTAAGATCTTTCACAACCGAAGATTAGATTAGCTTCTTTCAAAATAGCAAGGGATTTTTCTAACACTTTAGCCTAATCCTGAATTTTAGAGTTGGAACTGACTGTAACATATTCCTCAGAAACATGAATGATAAATCCAAACCGGCATTGAAGGAGCTTCTGGAGTACTGTTTCCTAGGTGGAGAGATGCCAGGAATCCAACCCGATTATTTGGACTATATCTCGATCAACACGTCTAAATAGATAGTACCGAATTCAATCAGAATGGCAAATTTTGGGGTTTTGGGGTTTTGGGGTTTTGGGGTTTTGGGG